TCGTCGGGCTCCCCCACCAGGGCCACATCCCTCTCTCCCACCTGCTGTGGGTGGGATGAGGGGGCAGATTTTGCCTCTTGCAGAGGAGGGAAGTGCCTGGAGAGAGAAGAAAAGCCAGACACCTGCTTCCTAGGGCTTTCTTTAAATGTCAGTTCACCAGGCAGTCTCTGCCCAGGGCGAGTAGCCCTCAGCCCTCGGTCTTCAGCGAGTAACGTCTCCCAGGATCTGTTCCAGCTCTGTCCTCCAGCATTTGCTCCCAGAGTTGTGCTTTTCTGGTTGGGTCGGTCCCAGGCAAGGGAAGCAGCTTGGCCACTGCAGAGAGCCCCAGGTGGAGATAGAAAACCAAAGATGTAAATCATCTTTGGCACAGACCTGTTGGTGTTGCTGCTCTGCCCCAGCCCATCCTCCCTGCCCTGAGCCAAGGGGCAGTGTGTGGAGCCCAGCAGGGACCCTCCTCATTCTGTGGTTCCCACAGCCATGATCCAGCCATGGCCAGGACTGTCCAATGTCAACTCCAGCAGCAGGGCCTCTGTCACTCCAATCCTTGCATGCTGGATTTTTCCCAACTGCAAACTGTGGTGAGAGTGAGGGGCCAGGGCAATCTGTCCCTGCCTGCAGCCCTGGCCAGGAGGGACCCCAGCCCTCAGCAGGGCTGCAGCTGCTGAGTCCTCTCTTCCTGGTGCTTCTTCCTGCGCTCTGGTGTAATGGGTTTCTCCTCTGGGAAGACGATGGTGGCATATTCAGTCTGGTCAACTGGCCGGGCCTCGGGGGGCACATGGGAGCATGAGTCCCACTGAAACTCCAGCACGCCATAGTCCACAGTGGACACAGACACCATGGGTGGCTTCTCTTCCTTCTGCAAGGAAGGGGACATTCATCATATGTTACACACCATCCCCAGCAGAACCCCCCTTTTTACAGCAGGTGCTGAAAACAGCTCTGAAGCAGCCCAGCAAGACAAGAGCAAGAAGAAGCACGAAGATGCAGAGACCTGGGATAGTTTTTGCCCAGAGAAACCAGACCATGAGCCTTGGGGCCTCAGTTCCCTGCCTGCTGGCCACTGAAGGCATGGTCATGCTAGTAGCTCTCTTACCATCTCTTCCCACCTCCTCACCAGGCTCTGAGCTCACAGAGGAAGCACAAAGAGAGCCTGGGGTTGAGTGTGCTCAGCCCAGAGAGTGAGATGGGACCTACTCACTTCCTTCAGCTGCCTAATGGGGTTGGAGAGAAGATGCAGCCAGACTCCTGCCAGTAGTGCTTGGCAAAAGGAAGAGAGGAGACAGGGAGTAGCTGCAGCAAGTGAAATTTTAGCTTTATATATTGGGTGCGAAGCATTTCCTCCCATTTTCTACAGCAACACAATCCACCATCAAAGATAGCCTGGGTTTGAGCAAGTGTTGGACTACAAACATCCCACCCTATCTCAGGCAATTTTTTGATTGTGATGGGGCTCTGCTGCAGGTGCAAAAAAAAAAAAAAGCAGTTATAGCTGTGCAAAAAAAGATCAGAGAAGACAGAAGCGAGAAGCCTGTGAAAGGCTGATAAAGGGAGGCCCTGCACCCTTGGCACCCCAAGCAGTGCTACAACGCTCCCCTGCAGCACAGCAGGGTGTCAGAGATGGAAAACTCACCACTGGCACGTTTTCACTTGGTGGTTTCTGCACATCTGCAAAATAAAGTTTGGTTAGAAGATGCTTGTGTGCCAAGACAGCATGAGGATCTGGGGTGGACCCAGGCCCCATGTCCTGGGAGAGAGCTGGACACTGCAACCATTGCACCACACAGCCTCTTCACCTCACAGGGTCTAACACCCTGAGCATTAAGAGAAGTGAGATGTCCTCAAGTTGCACCAGGGAAGGTTTAGATCGAATATTAGGAAAAAAAAAACAAACTCCATTGAAAGGGTTGTCAAGCACTGGAACAGGCTGCCTAGGGAAGTGGTGGAATCGCCATCCCTGGAGGTATTTAAAAGATGTGTAGATGTGGTGCTTAGGGACATGATTTAGTGCTGGACTTGGCAGTGCTGGGTTAACAGTTGGAATTGATCTTAAAGGTCTTTTCCAACTAAAATGATTCTATGATTCTCCCCTAGGCATGAAGATACCTGTCCATGAGGACATGCTACAGCTGAGCTCAGCATGTTGAACCTGCCTGGGTACCCCTGGGAGCAGCAGTCACCTCGGTGCCTCCTAGTTCAAGCTGGGCTTGTCAGATAAGCATCACCCTCTCAGGTCCCCTGGCAGACCCCAGCCCCTCGGTGCAGCACAGCCCCTGTGGGGGATCATACCTCCTCTCCTGTACGTGATGGTGCGGCAGCCAAAGATGAGCAGCACAACTGCCCCAGCCAGCAGCAGGATGCCCAGGAGCATGGCCTTGACTTTGTCTGGTGGGTTGCCTTCCTCTATCTCAGGCTCATCAGTGGTGTTTGTCTTCTCAAGGGCTTCTGTAATAGCCATCAAAAAAAGGGGGAACAAAGCAGCAGGTCAGGAGTCTAAAATGGCCTCTATAGTCCCTGGGAAAGTCACTGGCTGTCCCCAAACATGGCTCAGTCCCAGGCAGGCTGCCACAGCCCCACCATCCCTCCAGGGGCCCTGAACTTAGGCTGACATAGGAGATGGTCTGACCAGGTCCCAGTCCTTCCTATTCTAAATGGTGCAGATGACCCCATGTCCAGCAGAGCCCCATGGAGGATGTGGCTTCCCCAAGCCTCCCTGCTGCTTCCACACCCTGGGGCCAGCACAGCTTCAGCTCATGTTGGGAGGAGATGTTGTGAAGGCCAGTGACTTTTGCAGTGTTTTTCCTTTTTATAAAAGGCTACTTTCAGCCCCATGAGGCCTCCCTGCTGCCAAGCAAGGGCATTCTAAGATGCTGCTGTGAGATCTCAGTCTCCTAAGCTATGGAGCTACAAGACCCACCCAGGGCATGGTTGTAGCAGGATGCCACAACAGTATCTACACCAGTGCTGGCTGTTCAAGGGGTCTGAGACCTGGTTGTCATCCCAAATGCAGTAGTTGTCCCCAAAGGATTTGTTCAGGGGCGAAAGAAGCTCCCTACGCTGGTCTCCAACCTCCATCCATGAATATGGACTCAGTGATCCCCACATAATTGTTGAGGACACAGCCCCAGCAGGATAGAGAACTCCTGCCTTGGGACCAGATCCAGCACAGTGCAGGTGTGGCAGGAGAGCCTGTGGCCCTGGACCTTAGTCAGGCATGCAAAAGAGAAGTAAAAGGGCAGAGTTGTGCTCTCCTGACTCATACCAGGTCCTCTTCCAGCAGGGTACCACCTGCCTTGTGCCCTGCAACTGCCCTAAACCTGGGGGGAGATGACACCATGACCTGACCCCATCAGCTCAGCCCCCAGGCTGACCTGTGACCACCAGGTGGGACCGGCTGCTCTCCATCAACTTATTGGATTCAAAGAAGTTGATCAGCCCGCAGTAGTAGATGCCAGAATCATTCTGGTGAAGGTTCAGGATCTCAATCTTGAAGGAAGGAGTGTGGTTGGTGAGCAGGTACTTTTCTGTTTTCATCTGGGGGTTCTTCATACTGATCTCAGCAACTTTTTGAGGTTGGCTGTGGTTGACTTCCTTGTACCAATTGATGCTGTACTCTGAGCTGGAGTTCTTCTTCATGGAGACATTGCAGAAGAAGGTGGCTGAGCCTCCTGCAGGGACAGTTAAGATGGCTGGGAACAAGGTCACTGTTTGGGAAGGAGAAAACATGGAACAGATATGGTTACAACAGGGCATGGGTCCCAGAAGCAGCTGTGCACCCTGTGCAGGAACCAAGGATGCAAAGAGGGTGAGACCCCACTGTCATCTCTGCTAGTGCCCCACCCCATGGAGAGAGGCTCCTGTGCCCCAAAAACCAGAAGTTCCAGCTTCTATTTAATCCTCAGCTCCTGAAAGCCCTCGAGGGAACTTATAAAAACCTGTAGCTGAACACTTGTGAGCCCAGCTCCATGCCATTGTCAGCACCCAGCTCACCCCTGGCCAGGCTCTGGGATTTGCCAGCGATGCTGGCAGCCTGGCACTTGGACAGTCCTCAGCATCACCCTGGATCTCAGGGAGGTACATCAGCTCAGGTCTGTCCTCTCCTGAGGGCAACTCTACTGTGAAGGGTCAGTAACACTACTGTGAAGTGGTATCAGCAGACAAAGTTGTGCTCTGGGCTACCTAAAATTAACTCAGAACACCTGCATCACAGACAACAGGCTTTAGGGGCTGTATTATTTTTAAGTCTATGTGGTATTTTAATGTGTGAGTCATCCTTCCTCTGGCTGATGTTGTCTCTGAAAATAAGTGGAGGGACAAGGTCCTAGGCCAGGGTAGGACCTGTAGTGCAGCCCATCACGTGCCTGGCTGCCTGTCAGAGTGCTCCAGCTCAGCCACTTCTCCCACAACCCCAACAGGAGCACAGAGCATCTGCCACCCCCACCTTGAGATGGTCTGAGAGGGTAGAGAGACCCAGAGCTTAACAAGCCATCTCCTCCCAGCTGCCTGCCCACCCGTGTGTACGTGGGCAAGGGCCCAGCCCTGAGGAGCCCTGGCCAGGCTTCCCAGGCTGCCCCCAGCACAGAGGGCAGTCAGGCAGCACCACAGCCCCCCTGGCTCTTAGCACCAGCCCCGCTGCTTCACCACATTTCGCTCCCCATGATCCCAGTGGGGTCATCTCCCACAGCAGTGGGGACATTGCAAACATGGGCCATCCCAGCTCAGCCAGCCACATCCAGCAGGATGAGGTGCCTGCTGCATCAACTTTTTTTCAGAGCAATAAAAAAGCAGGAAGAAGCATTTTTCACAGGGTTATTGTGACAAAAAAAAATTCAAAGCTCCAACGCTTTGAAAATTCCCTGCTGTTAAGAAATTTATCTTCCCTTTTCAGAAATTACTACTGTCAGCAGCCCCAGGGCTTGCGGGCACAGTTAGAAAGTCCCTTCAGAAGTGGCCTGAGGCCACAGGACTACGACCTCAGCATCACCAATCAGAGGAGGAACCAGGATGATTCCTTGAATAGATACAGGATTAGATGGAAAATTGAACTAAGAAAGAAGAGAGGAGACCAAACAGAAGGAGGGAGGGAAGAGTCCCAGACCCCATGGACAGAGTTGGCTGTGGCAGTGCCTACACAGAAAGATGTAGGTTTTGCAGTGTTCTGGGCTCCTAGTGTTTAACACAAACTATTTGGCAGGTTCAGGGCTTTGCTTCCTACCCCATGCTGCTGCCAGCAGTGAAAGAAACACTCTGAGGACTTCTGAAAGCAGAGGTTGGGTTCACATCTTAACATCTACTGCAAGGTATGCCCAGCCTTGTGCCCACCCTGGGGCAGAAAATGCCCAAAGCCACCAAAGAAAGAGCCAGAGTGGAAGAAAAGCAAGGACACAGCTTCATCAGGGCTCTCACTCACTCTGCTTGGACTCATCCCTTCCCCTCCAGCTCCTCTTCTCCCAAGTTTCACTCTGAGCAAAACCACACACAGGACCCGGGTTCCCTCATGGTCAAGCCCAAACCAGAAGGCACAGCCTGAAGTCGTGAGAGCCAGAGCAGAAAACCCCAGGGCCCACATGGTGCTGACAAACCTAGAGGATCAACATCAACCCCTGACTGTGCCCAATGTGCCCAAAGCGCAGCTCTGGTGCCAGCACTGCTGGCTGGGGACCTGTCCCCTTCTCCATCCTTTAACCCTGTTTCTGCCCCAAGCATCCCCATTTCCTTCACTTCAGCTGCATTTACCCAGAAACTTTAGGTTTTCTGCCTTCTTGATGACAGAGCTATTTTTAACTACAAAGCTCCCAGCCCTCAGACATTTTCCACTGGCTGCAGACGACACAGGCTGTGCCGGCGAGCGTCGCGCTCCGGTACCTACCCCGGCGGCAGCCGGCCAGGATGGGGCCACAGCAGAGCAGGAGGACACAGAGGCTGGTCAGGAACACCACCATGCTGCCCCATGTCGTCTTCGAGGCACCAGGAGCCATGGTGAGTCAGTTGGTCCCCTGCCCAGGCAGGTGTGCTGTGCTGCCCCTGGCTCTCTCGGCTCTTCCTTTCTCACAGAGGCAACTTCTTCTCCAGTGTGCACAGCAGAGGCTGGGCTGGAAATGAAACGTGCCCATCCGCGCCCCAGAGGGAAACCCGGGCTGCCTCCCGCCCCCAGCTTCCTCCCCACAGGGGCAGGAACAGCTGAGCCATGCCTGGCCCCTTCCCCTCCCTGCGCGCTCCCACACAGGCACCTGCCTGCTGAGCACTGAGCTGCCTGAGCCTGCACCATTTCTGGGGAAAGCTCCTGGGGATGGAGCAGGCAGGGACAACGGGACATGTCCTCAGCTCCAAGTCTGGCCCATAAGTAAAAGGGCTTTCTTGGGTTCCCAGGCACCCACAGGTGCTTCCACCGGGTGCCCTTGGCAGTGGGGTGCTGGGGGACATGTGACAGTGGGCAGCCACCCAGGGTCTGAGGAGCCACGGGGCACCTGTTGGTAGGCTGCTCCCACCAGGAAGGGATGGGAGAGAAGGAAGAGAGAGAATGAGAAGGAGAAGGTGAAAAAAGAAAAGGAGAAGGAAAGGGAGGAGATAGAGAAGTAGGAGATGGAGACGGAGAAGGAGAATGAAGGAGAGGTTTTGCCTCCTTAGGTGTATTTCTCCACAGACAGGTCTGTAGAGAGCACAGGCAGGTGCCTGGGGCCAGGGTGCTGTTATTGGGGTGACCTTTGCAGTAGACTTCTGTAATTTCCCTGCCAGCAATGTTCCCTAGGATGGCCAAGGAAGGGGTTCTGAGTTGAGGCAGGGTAGGATCATCCCAGGTGAAACGTGGAGAGGCTTGTTTGCCACTTGCAACATGTTTTGGTTCCTCGAGGTGGAAGATGTGACAGGTATCACCAGTGAGATCTCAACTCACTGAGGCAGGATTCGGCAGGAAAAACTGGCTCACTGTCCCCCGCCATGCACGGCAGCAGAGGCTTCTGATTAAAATCACAGCACAAATTGCTCAGACTTTCCAATGCGTGCTTGAAACGGGCATAAGCCAGTACCCAGGGTGGGGAGGCTGCTGCATCCAGGAGAAGCCAGCAACAGCAGATGGAGACCATGTGGTGATGTTTTCAGATGCTCGGGTTCCTCCAGAACCACGTCCCAGCAGGCTGGGGACTGGCACCAATGCTGGAGCCTTTCCAGGCTGCTTTGGGTGCAGGATGAGGCCAGAAAGTGCCAGGGAGCTCGCAGAGAACGCAGCAGAAACTGCAGGGGAGGACAAGCCGGGAGTTTGCTGGCAGCAGGCTGGTGGGAAGTTTACACTGCTCCAAGATTGAGAAGAAGGGACTTTTTCCCTCTTTTGCTGGGGAACAGAAATTTAAAAAATAATAATTAATGGATGGAAAGAATAAAAGAAAAGATCAGTCTCACCACTAAGAAGCCACTGCAGGGGAAATCAAATTGAGCAGCCCAGCACGTGCCCCAGGTGCCAGCACCATGAAGAAGCCTGGCTCCAGCCCTGAAGCAGCCCCTGGGCTTCAGGCAGGCTCTGCCCCCTGTCTGCACCCTGCCAGACCAACACAGCTCCTGCTGGCTCTTGCACCAGCTTCTCCAGCACCAAGGAAGATCGCCTGGCTCCAGCCGTGCTGCGGCTCCTGCTCATGCAGGTAAATTTCCTCCAGCCCAATGGGGTGGATGGTACATCTTGGGTTAGCTGGGGAGAGAGGTTGAAAAAGTTCCTTTGATGCTTAAAAAAATGCTCTCTCTCTGAGCTGGGATATGGTGAATTGCATGGGACAGTCCTGTTTGGTCACTGAATGAGCAAAAGAAGGGCTAAAAAGGAAGGAGAAAGAGGACTGAGAAAATAGTTCTTCAAAACTAAGAGACAGGAACTTCAGCAAGAACGTGTCACACCACTTCACCAAAGCACAAGTGTCCCTATTTTTTTGCCAAGGAGAAGCTGGCCCAATGTGTAGGCGAGGGTCCCACCAATGCAGCTGGGACCTGGACAAGGCTCTGGTCTCCTGCAGCCATCACTGTCGGGATACACAGCGATACACTGAGCAGGCACCTCAAGAATCTAGGGTCAGTCCCAAAATAGCTTAAAATCATTGAGGGTATCTAAGGAGCACTGAAAATTTGGAAGGTGAAGAAGAAAGCAATGACCAAACACCTCAGATGGAGCCAAATGAAGCTCAGAGCTCAATTGCATAGAAGCACAGAACGTCTTGGGTTGGAAGGGATCATCAAAGATCATCTAGACCCAACCCCCCTGCCACAGGCAGGGACATCTTCCACTAGACCACCTTGCTCAAAGCTCTGTCTAACCTGGCCTTGAACATTTCTAGAGAGGGGGAATCCATCAGTTTCTCTGGACAGCCTGGGCCAGTGTCTCACCAGCCCCTCAGTAAAGAATTTCTTCCTAATACCCAATCTCAATCTACCCTCTTCCACCTATGTGCCCTCCTCAGCTTTCCTGTAGCCTGTCCTCAAAGCCCAGGGAAGGCAAAGCTTCCCAAATGAGATGGAGGTCACAAATGCCTACAAAAAGAGAAAATCAGAGGTTGTCAAAGATTCCTCCCCTGTTGGTTTAACTGAATTCACACCCGCGGGTCAGACCCGGGCAGGAGGTGATGTGGCTGGGGCAAGAAGCGGAAAAGATTAATGGTGTTTGCAAATAAACACGGCGAGCGTTGAGGTCTTTCAGATACTTCTCAGAAATTAGGAAGGCCCCTGCAAATGATTTGCATGAGCACCACCACCTTGCCCTGCAGGGAAACGCAGCAGCCCTGAGGAGTAAGCAAAGAGTGAGTAAACAGCGAGTAAGCGGAGGGACAGAGCAGAGGCATGAAACTGTTCCATTAGTGAGTGGAAATCTGCAGACACTTGGCAGGCCAATGGTGCTACAGGGGTATGGCATGGGCTAGCACCACCTGTAGCATGACAGCAGGGTGCTGTTCCTGCTGGAGGACAGAGCTGATGCCCAGCCTGGGGTACTAAGGGCTCTGATGGACCATCTCTCACAAGCAGTGCTGCTAAAGCCCATGGAGAACAGAAGCTGCTGCTGCTCAGGGTCTCAGCAACCCACCTGTGTCCAGAGACAGTTGGGGCAGGACCTGGAGCCAGTTGGGATGCATCTGTGCATCCCAAGCAAAACTCCAGCAGAGGCACCTCCTGCCTCCCAATGCAACCTCACACTCTCCTGCACCCAAGGGGCAATCCCAGGCAGCACTGGGCCTGCAGAGCACCAGCCCTTAGTGCCTCCCAGCGCTGCTACACGTGATAGCCCCTCCAGCCCCTCAGCACCAACTGCACCTTCAGATTGTTTCTATGCAAAGCAGGCTGGGGACCTTTCTCGGCAGAGTCACCTGCTGCATGTAGGAAATGCAACGACAGAGGCTGCTGCATCAAGATAAACAGCTGAGGAAGCAAGATGTCAGCCTCAGGGGGACTGTGCTGCACACAAGCTGCTGCTCACCAGCCTTCCTTGGGACAGACAGCAGCTGCCAGCAGGGAAAAGAGCACAAGAGGACACTGGGGAGCATCTATGTTTAGTGTTCTATCACTTGATGGCCCCTCCCCATTCAAGAAGGGGAATCGGGAAAGAAGAGAGGAGACCCTTGGGTTGAAATGAAAACATTTAATGGAACAATAACAGAGAACTACTCTTAATCCCAGTGCTGTATGAAACAGAAAGCTATACTCAGCCCATGCAGTGCTGGAGAGCTGTGTGCTCCCAGCAGTGGGTGCCAGGTATCCAACCGTGTGAGCACCACAGCTCCAGGGAGAGCCCAACAGGCACAGCACAGGGGGGCAGAACAACCAGGGAGACCCTCCTGGGATGGCAGCCATTGAGGAAGAGCCCCATCCCCAGCAAACTTCCCAGTTTATAGCAGGAGAGACGTTTATGGTATGGAATACTTCTGTTGGCCAGCTCAAGTCAGCTGCCCTGGGTTTTGCTCCTCCTCACCCCAGCACCTGGCTAGCTCAGAACTGCTGAAGATCTTGATCACCATGCAAACCCACATTCTGTGGCTGGCCAGAAACTAAAGTGTCTTATCACCTTTGTTCTCACGGAATGGGGTGCTGCAACCTTCTCAGAAACTGTAGCTTCCCTGAACAGAAAATCAGTTCTACAGTTCCACATCAGCAAAACCTGGACAGGGAGAGACTTTCTGGAAGATGTAATAAGCTCCTGGAGGAAAGGAGCAAGGCTGGGTGGGGATGCACAGGGGTGGCTGCACAGCAGCCTCAGGGGATCACAGAAGCATTTTGCTTGGAGAAGAACTTTAAGATCACCAAGCCCAACCCTTAACCTGAACTGCTGAGCCCGGTGCTGAACCACGTCTCTCAGCACCACAGGTACACCTGTGGCTGTTAAACACCTCCAGGGATGGGGATTCAAACCCTTTCCCAGGCAGGCTGTGCCTGACAACCTTTTCAATGGGGAATTTTCTCCCAAGATCCAGCCTAAACCTCCCCTGGCACAACCTGAGGCCATTTTCTCTCGTCCTACTTGTCCCTGGAGAGCAGGGACCAACCCCTGCCTCCCTGCAGCCTCCTTCCAGGGGGGTGTTGAGAGCGAGGTGCTCTCCCCTCGCCCTCTTTCTCTACCATCGCAATCACGACTGTAACCACCGTTTATGTGCCCTTTATTTTATTGCATTTAACATTTTATTGTGAAAAAAAAAGTCAAAGTAATAATAAAAATAAATATTTTGACAGACATAAAAATCCACGTCCCCTACCTCCCCAGACCCCCCTCACTGCCCAACC